CATGCCCAAGCTAGTTATTGGTTTCAGTTTGGCGATCAGTCCAAGAATATCCACGCTTTGGATAGTCATTCCAAGTTCTTTGGATTTTTATTGTGATATTTAAACTTAAGAGACAGTCGTCAATAAGTAAGGTAACTAATAGTCGTCAACCTTCAATTATTTATTTGGGGTTCTCAGTTTTTTTTAGTGAAGATGTAGTACTTTCCATGTAAAAGACGAAWGTAATCGTGAGATTAGTACCGGCTTCCACATGGTTAGTGACTCAAATATCGGCATTTTCTCGATTGCATTCTGAATTACCAATTTCACAGTGCTAGTTACCTCGATTTTACAATTTACTTTACCTCAGTTRTTTGATATCTATGAGTGCTGTAAGAAACTAAATGGTAAGCTAATTCCAGGAATCGCGTCCAATGCACACGAGAACTTATTTATGTCTTTGATTACTTGTTTTGCGTGAGCTTACCAAGGGCGCTAGGGCAAAAAATGGTGTTTTTTAGCCGTTAGACTTTGTTATATTGGTGTTTTTTAAACGTTAGAAACTGTTTAAACTGTTACGTCTCTGTACTGCGAACTGTGAACTGTAATGGTCACAGCAATATTTTTGGCGTGTATAGACGGGAAAACTGAACAAATCAAGCCAGCACATAGCAGTACAGATGCGTAACAGTTTAAACAGTTTCTAACGTTTAAAAAACACCAATATAACAGAGTCTAACGGCTAAAAAAAACACCAATTTTTCCCCTAGCGCCCTTGAGCTTACTAATCACTAATCTTACTAAGTGTATACAGGGGAGGGGGGGGAGGGGGGAGTGCATGTGCAAATTTAAATTCGCTAGCTCTAATTCTAGCAGTGTAACCAAGTATATTCTCACACTTCGCAATGTCAATTGTAAGGTTAAGGTAAAAGGTAAGTTTAACTGGACGATAGTCAATAGAGGAGAAGAAGTTTTGGCACTGCTTTACTCTTGTTTTTACTGAGTGACTTTAAAATTCGAGTTCAAATGGCACTGATATAAACCAGTACAGTAAACTCTCGCCTTACGCACACCCCTAGTACCCAAGTTTGGGTGGTAGTACCCCCCAGGCGAGCAGCGACACTAATCTTGGGTTTCTTGTGTGCCAGAAACAAATAAAAATCTCGATTTTGAAAGTTCTTCCATTTGGCCTCGACTGCCTCCCCACGACTGCAATTTCAGGGGCAATTACTTTATTCACGTGCCTGCCTCGTGGTGGTGTTTGGTCGTGCGTGATCTCTTTCACGTTACTTTTTGGGCACTCCGCAGCTTCAACTTCAGAGTCAAATAGTCTTTCGAATTCCTTGTGCTCCTAGTTCATATGTTATTTATATTACAAACGATTTAGGGCCATTTTAAGGGGAAAGCAAAGCTATTTTATTAACCTTATCGATTCTTTTGTAGACAGTGATTATGATAAATTGTTTCCTTGTCAAACAAAATTGATTTTTGGATGTTTTTATCAGCTTACTTTTGACCCGGATGACCTACATGTAGCTGTTTACCTTCCCGCTATTGCTATAAGCCATCCATTTGTATTAAGGTTATAATTTATTTATAGAAATACATAACGACTTTTTATTTGTTTTTCTTATATATATCTACTTGTTAGAGACAGCTATAGGCTGTATAGGCTATACTTGTTTTCAGTATTATTGTGGTCAGCTAAACTATGTCAAATAAATCAAATGTCAGAGGCTGATCCTATGATTCTTACCTTCTTTTTTAGTTATTTTAATTTAGGCCTTGTTATTGATTTTGGGTTGTGTTTTTACAGATACAGTAAATCGAAAATCAACGAATCAACAATTAACTGATATGGCAATGGCTAGCGGGAGTGGCTTCCAATTGTATCATTGCGAGAAATGTGGAAACGATCAGCGGGTGTCTATTGAGGATGTCATTGACCAGTATAACGAATGGGAGCTGGATTTGAGACTCCAAGATATTAACGATGCTTGTCCATTGGCTTATGGTGGTTTCTTTGTTGCAAGTGTGAAAATCGATATTGAATGCGAAACATGCCATGAGGAGATCGGTATCGTCCTAAAAGTTAGTGCATCACCAGATTGGGATGAATCTAGGGAGGATTGCGATCCACGAATCGATGGCTTTCAAAATACTGAAATTCTTGAAGTTTTGCCTAGTGACGCTAGTGTTGATGACTCATTAATGAGCTGCCTTACGTTTGCTGAGGATGATGACGAGGATTATTTGCCAGAAATTGAATTGTCTGAAGAGCCAACGGTAGTGTATTCTGTCACATTACACATCATTGCCAAGACAAGAATGAACAGAGGCTCTTGTCATTTGGGCCTTTGTTTCAATAGTGGAAGTTCTAGAATCTTCCGTCCCTTGTACCGCACCCAGGAAAGTCAATGTTGTTGGAATCAACCTTTAGAGCTAGACAAGGAGTATAATTTTAATATACTGGGAACCTCTGGTGAATCATTTACGCCTTTGCCACACAGCAATGAAGATTTGCTCGTTGACCATCGTTCAATGCAAATACTGGATTCAAATGTATCAAGTTCAGATGACGTTTTTACAGAACTACAGAACATGGCAAAACTCAGTGTGGAAGACATTTTTGGACCTAATACAATAAGGCAAAATAAGTATGTCGATGAGGGTTCAGACTGCCCTTCAGTGGGAGTTCTGAGCTGCATGGGTAGTAATCTTGAAATGATAAGAGATCCCTTTAATTATAGAAAAAGGCGTGTAAAGATACCTGGAGGATATGAACCCCGATTCACTGCTAGCGATGCTGAAAATATACCCGAGGACCTACCAGACAACCCTACTTTGGTCGTGCTCGGTTTAGCACGACCATTTGCAGGAACAGGACAAAACCACTTTGACCCAAAAAGATGTTACATTTTAGTTTTGAGGATTTTGCAAAATACCTTAGCTGGTTAAAAGGCTAAATAGTCTCTTTAAAAGTAGCCACTTTAAAAGCATGATAGTTGAAAACAATTGGTGATTTTTTAACAAATTTCATAGCCACTTTAAAGGTTTAAAGGCTTCTGAACACTTTCTATAAAAAGCTGAGCGTATCATTTATTAACTAAATTCATTTGCTGTTAAGATATATTCACATTAAAACCGACCTTGGATCCTTGTGGGACTGGTATATAGTTTATAGTAGGATTTTGCAAAATCCCTTGGCTGGTGGCCTAAATGGCCGAAACCCATGGAATAAGCGACATGGAGAGCCCAAGTTATCTTAGATCGAGCAACTAGAGCTTTTTTAACAAATTTCATAACCACTTTTCAAAGTATCATTCAAAACTTCTTGAATTTTTCCAAACATGTATGACTGAAAAAGCGTATCATTTATTAACCACATACATTTACTGTAATGATATATTCCCTGTAGTGGGACTGGGCTAATTTTGTAACGCACTAGTCAACTGAAAACCCCACCCCACCCCCAGATCAACCCCTGGGACAAAGTAGGGAATTAATATTGATGTGGTGTTAAAATCAGCAATCCCTCGCCGTCCCCAGGGGAAAGATTTGCCGTGTTTAAATAATGGAAGTTGTTGCTGTTAAAATTGTTAAACTGTAGAAGTACGCATTAAATTTCTCGCATATCCGTGCATTCACGCCGTTAAATGCGCGCTAAATCCCCGGTCTCGCCGCCTTAATTCCTCAATGTGTCCTGGGAGGGGGGGAGGGGGGGGGGTTCAATTGACCAGTACATAAGGTATGTACTACATGGCTGAATGACATATATTGTAGTCTATATATAACTATCTATTTTGTCTTTAGCATAAATCTAACGATTTTGCGCATGCTCAATAAGAAAAACTATCAGTCAAAGGGACTAGGCACTAGCGTGCATCAGGGCGGATCAAGAACATTTCCGGATACGTGTGGACAGTCAGAAAACGATTCGAATACGCTGCGTGTGGACGCGAACACTTTCGTATCCGAAAAAAATAAAAATAAAAAATTGCGGATACAAAAATTTCCGGATACGTGTGGACGGGGCCTAAATTAAAGCGTTCAGTTTTGTGAACAGTTGTTGTTAAAAAAAGTTAAACATTGAATTAAAATGTTCTTAATGATTTAACATTCACGAACTTTGGACCACAAATTCTGTCAACTGAGAAGAAAAATTGTAATTGTTTTTCTTATTAGAGAATGCAGTTTTCGTATGAGTGGGAAACAGTACAGGAATCCCAAAACACTCACCCTTACTGAGTTTAGAGGGAAAAGTAGGACCGCTCGCAGTCTAGAAAGGCGCGTTGTGATTGGATTGATTATTGCAAGATAATGAGAAGCCATTAAAATGTTACGGCATGTCGTACCGTGTACATTGTTAATACCGTACGTAAGTCAGTACCGTACGTTTCACCACTCATACGATGAAAACCTCTCTCTATGTAACACATCCGTACTGCACAGACATGTTGCAACCACAATCTTAATGATAACGTTTACTTATTCCAGGCATACTCGCAGAACTTTGCGATATGCAACAGGTTACTTTTACTGTCACCCAGACATGTACAAATCTTTTACCAAGGAATTTAGTGCCAGGTTTTTATCTGGTACCTGTAATATTCAATGCTAGTCACAACACTGCCTAGTTTCTGGCAAGTGATCATGACCATAAGATCACCTGTTAAATTTTGTTACGGTTTAAATAACTTATGTATTATCTTGTTATCTTTTTTTATTTTTTATTTTATTTTTTATCATTCGTTAATTATAAACTTCTTTACTAGGTCTTTCCGTTTTTCCAAAAATACCACGTACACTCGGGCCGGTTATACCACAACACAGGCAGCCCAAGCAAGGTTCCTGTGTGTGATTTATAAGGGAATGTATGGGAGTTATGATGAAGACATAACTATAAAATATTTCACTTAACAATTTGCTTCAAAACTTCAAAAAACGTTGAGTGAAACATTTTATCGTTATAACTCAGTCATCATACCTATCATACATTCCTCTATAAACCATACACAGGAACCTTGTTTGAGCTGCCTGTGACTAAATAAAAGAAATATCACATAGCCTGCATTGACATTGTATCGTATCTTAACGACGTGAGCAATGATTTACAGTGCGACTACTACAACGAAATCCACCTCGACAAATTTTCCACAAATTATCCAATGGTGTTTGACTATTTAGACAATAGATTAGCGGCAAATTTTGAATTTATATATTCTCCCGTTGTTCCGGTTGGAAAAACTAAATGATGAAGAAGAGCTTGCCACCAAAGATATAGAAAAATAGTAATGTACGACTTCAAATACGACAGGAAAGCAAGTTAGAGACAGTATAAAACACAGTCTTTATGATTACAGTTTGTTTCTTCCAGACAAAGATATTATSAGGCTGACACTGTTAGATCTTTTCACCATTTTGCTATGCGACAGCACGTTTATATACGACAATAAAAGTGCCGGCAGTCTTCCCAGCCGTGTAAACCCATGGATATTTGTCCGATTTGTAGCAATTCTATTGTTGAGATATTCCTTCTTTTGATTGGCTAATTTGTGGAACATTTGTCAGGTGGCTCTGGTTGGAGAAGTCGCACTGAAAAACGTCCCCTGCCTATCTTTCTTCAAAATTCAAGAAATGTATACTGAACCGAGATGAATAGGGAGGAATTTATTGCCATAGTAACGATTGCCTTGAATAGGAATGCAATAGAAATCTGAACAAATAAGTTTCAATTTTTAAAGACGATCAATGAAACGATTCATGAAACGATCTGTAAAAATATCAAACAGCTCGTTTGATGAGATAGCCGCCAATCATGCGATCAACAACCAAGTCTTGCGTATCAGTATATGTTAATACATTTTCAGGCTATATAAGCACTGCATCCTGAGAACAAATCATTAAGAGCTGTCCTTCAAACGAAACTCTTTATCTCGTGTTTTTGAAGATGGTTCCAATTACGTTCTTCCTGATGCTAGGTGCCTTCTCAACTACCAGCGCATCAGATCCGATTAGTCCATCAGTCTATCAAGGCCTTGTAGGACAGGGATTTTCTACCAACTGGTTCAAGACAGAATCACCGTTGTCCAAGTACAATGACCAGAACATCCAAGACATCTATGATAAAGGATTTCGAAACCTCAGGCTTCGATGCCGGGCAGACCTGTACGCCGCCCCATACGACACTCCCAAATTTACTTCGTTTCTGAAAGATTTGTCGAGAGTWGTCGATAAATGTCTCGAGGTTGGCGTGGCTCCGATCATCTCCTGGATCCACCATCACGCTGAGGCGTATGCAAGTGAAGAAGATCGACAGAACTACGTAACATGGTGGACAAAGGTGGCCAAAAAGCTGAAACACAAGGACTACAGACTCAGCTTTAATTTGTTTACCGAGCTGGGAATAGATGAATGTGGTACAAAGGAAAATTGTGGTGAAAGTCTTCGCATGAGGACTGACAAATACAACCAATCAATGGACATCCGATGTTGTTGCAGCTATTCGTGCCACGGGTGGAAACAACGCAAAGCGTATCTTGATTCTTGGATCACCAGGAAAGACAGCCAAAGATCTTGACAAGATCAAACAAACTATTTATAAGAAGGATTCCTACATGATGGCCGAGTGGCATTTATACGCCTCAGGACCTAACAAGAGAGTTGGCAGGCCAAAATACTGGAGTGGAGATGGTGAACCCGTTGGTAAAGAAAATGTTGCCAAAGCCATCAAACCAGCAATGGACTTCACCACCAACACTGGTGTCCTGACGTACCTTGGAGCATGGATGCCACAAGACAATGACGGTGGCAGTTTGACCGAAGCTGAAGTGATCAACTTTGGTCGGTATTTTGCCAGTGAGATGAAAAAGAAAAACATCCCTTGGTCTCTAAACGTACTCGACCGGTATTACGACACTAAGAATAGTCAATGGTTGACAGGCATACAGGATATCAAAGGACAACCACTGGACATGTCACGGGTGTTGAAAAAAATCATAAAAGTGATGTAATCGCCTGGAAAAATTGCACACGATTGAAGATTTAGTGATTTAGCCAAATTAGTTTTGAAAAATTGACCAACATCATGTCATCTGTAAAGTCATAACTGGGCTTATTGGTTTGGTATAGCGGTAGGGAAGTGTAAATGTGTGTTAACCTGAGTATTATGTCTGCGGGGGTGCCTGGGGACGGGGTTGAGGGGTCTTGTGTAGACAAAACAAAAAAGTACAGATAAAGATATTTGGAAAACAATAGTGAGAGAATCTTGAATAATCATGCGAGCCTGTGGGTTGATTTTCAATTCATTATGGTAAATAAATTCGACACATGTAGATATAGAAGGGGAAATTCTGCAAGTGAAAATAAAAAGTAACCTCACTGAAAGAGGTGGCTGCGATGTAGTTGGTCGTGTTTATATTTGTCCTTGAAAAACAATAGAGTGCACGCACTAATTCAGTGAAACAAATACTAACTTTTAGTACTAAATAGTGATAAATAAACAATAGAAAACAAAGGATTCTGTATGAAATACAGTGCTCACACTAAATCCGTGAAACAAATACTAATTTKTAGCACTAAATRGTGATAWATAAACAATAGAAAACMAAGGATTCTGTATGAAATAGTACTAATTAGTACAAATTAATGTACACGGAATTAGTGTGTGCACTCTAGTAATAGTTTATGAAATGTGTTTTTGTCACTCGGTAAAGATTTATATGTTAATAGTGTATGCTAGTTATTAGTATTATTATTAGCTAGTAATAGTTATTGAAAAAAATATAGTAAAAAGTAATAGTTTGTCTGTGAGATATTCCCAAAATATAAAAGCTTGTGAATATCGTTTGAGATTGTTTCTAAAGGTATCAAAATATAACATTAAGCTCGTTTTTGGTACAGACTGGCCCACAGCCCACGCTAACGACATACACGTTCAAAATCAACAGTGCCCATGTTATATGATCTGGAAGTTAGAGTTCGGGAGATGCTCCCAAACGCAAGTTATTTATTTTAAATAAGACATTTAAGTGAAATGTAGCCAACTTATCAGCGGTATGGTTTTGCATTAGCAAAACTTTCCATTAGTGGACAAGCGAAAAAAACAAACAAACAAGAAATATAAATATTCCTTAGACATTTAAAAAAATATCATCTCTTTAGAACTTCGTGTTTCTTTTATTGTTCGTTTCGTATTTTTTCACTTTCATATTACATTTATTTAGCTGTGTTGAGCTGTGTTTATTTTCGTATTACCATCCAGCACTTAGTCTCAGACGAAACCGCCAACCGAGACCGAAAACTTCAGTGCATCTAATTGCCTACTGGTATAGAGTCAAGTAGAGTAGACTGGCCGGCAAACAAGCGTTTGACTGAGGGGCAACAAGCGGATGTTAAAAGTCAAAATTTAGATACTTTATTGGTATCTTGAATTGGAATTTAAATAGGTCCCTTGCACAAAACTCCTACCTCAGGGTCAAAAAAATCAGTGACATTGAAATAAAGATTTCAACCCGCTCAATTTTTTTTTAGATTTTAGATTTTAATTATAGTTGTATTGTTTACCCCATATTCATGAATGCACAATCAATATATCCTAGTGCACAAACAACACTGACTCAACTCAAGTGATGATATTTGTCAAGGGCAGAAAACCAAAAAAAGACAAAAGAAATACCCTCGTGGCAAAGGGAGACATCATGCAACATTTCAAAGATTCTCTCTCTCCAAATGGTGGCGTCGCAGGAATCGCTATCAGGGCTGACAGTAGTGAAAAGCGGACGTTTTACAAAACTACGCAACATTACCCCACTACCCACGGTTGTAAAACGAGCTATAAAACGATTGGAAGACTTTTTAATACGGTTTGATCCAGAAAAAGATTCAGGTGTTATTGGATTTAGTTAAGGTTACAGGCGTAATGCTTTAGAAATATAAAGAATACTATTCAGAAGTTTTGACATAAAGTAGTGTRTTAGGTCTGTAAGTGTGGGGGAAATTCGTAAAAAGAGATGGTTTGCCTTCGTTACAAAGACCGTCATAATATAACCAGTTGCTATTGTACTTGAAGACACAGGTGTAATGCTCGTATTTGCCGCTTCTTAGGGTTACTGCCTGCAGTTCGTATCTGAAATAAAAAAAGACAAATGAAAGGATTAATGAATTAATAATCTTGCCTCTATTCATGTTCCCATACCCAAACAAGACGCCCTATATGCGTTCACTGGGTTGCCTGGCCTGTATCATATACAGAGGCCTCGTTGCAGTGTTAGCCAGAAAATAATGGCATGTTTCAAAGAAAAGAATGATTTCGTTTAACTTGTCTAAGACGATCTTCTCTCTTAAGGAGTTCTCTATATATATATTAAAATAATTGCAGGTTCTGCCCTTTTTTAGGCTATAGAATAAAGTAAGTTTTTCGATATGCATATCACACTACTTGTGAATTTGATCTTGCGCCATATATACATATATAAAGAAAAAATTTATGTGGATTATATGAGATTCGAACCCACCAAAAGAAAAACATATATAATCGATTCTACTTTGCCATACCCCCGAGACATCCGCAGAGCTGAGGCGGCGTATGGACTTCGGACCTGACGGCRATTAAATCCTTCTGCCCTTGGGTGTACGAATTACGCAAGAAAATGTTCTAGCCGAAGCATCAGGGGAGAGACCAGCCGGCCCCCAGTCCATATCGGCTAATCCCTTGCATCTCTGCAACGCACGGAATCGGTTGAAAAAATACTGTTAAAAAACCTAGTCTATTCGGTGCATTGTTTTCACGGCTATTGTTATGCTGATTCACCTGGAACCGTGGTCCAGTGGATAAATCGTTGTCGTTCAAGATACTGAGTCAAGCTCGTCTGGGTGTCCTCACGACACTATCATCAGGCAACGCATTAAAAATTGCTGGCTGTATATGTTTTTCCATCTCAGACTACAAGGCGAATTTCAGATAATTTTCTTCTCAACATATTGTTCAGTGTCCATGTTACGATGATTAATTTTTAAAGTTGTAATAGTTTCTTTTCTGCAGAGCATTCATCCAATTTATTATGAATACTGGTTTAGTCCGGTATGACCCATTTTCACTCACACACACATACTTATCACTACATTTGAAATTATTTTTGCGCACAATTCTCATGATGTGTTTTAAGGTAAAAGGATAAATGGAGGAAAAGACCCTCGTGACCTTCGCAAGAGAGAATTGCATAACATAGTAACCAGTTTGGTTTAGCGCTAATATCTGACTAAGTTTACTCAGAGACATAACTGAACATCATGTAAATAGAACCAGAAAAAGAGTTTCTATTTGAGCCCTTACTTGTGATCTAAGATCGTCATATCAGCAGGAATGTTCTTCATCCTTAGTCTTACACCCTGGGCAGCTAAAAGTTCTACATCAACTGGTATGATCAGMGGCATTCCGTCTGGGAATACTCTTGGATGTGTTGTCCTTGCTCCATCACAATAAACGTTACTGCTGCAAACACAATATGGTTATCTCAATAAGTTGTGGAAGGTTAATTGGTTGTGCCCATAGTGCTAGAAGTGCCCATACTCTATATGGATAAAATACCATCTTGTGAAAATATTCTCTGTGGTGAGTTGATCGTTAATGAAGTTTAGATTCGATTTCTTGATATGCTTCGTTGTCGTGAAAGACATCGATCTCAGACCAGGAAAACGGTTCTAAACATCCTGACGCCTGCTGCGAACGTTGCATGCCAACAGCGACTCCGCGATGCCTTTTTAAAGAACTTAATAAAACTTAATGATTACAGCATGTCTTTGGGTATTCCCACACAACTTGCAATAGACCAGTTCATAATGCTCAGCCTTATATTTCTCATTTCAGACCACGTGTCATCCCCTATCACTTATTCGTTTACAGTTCCGCATAAGAAGACAACACATTATTATGGATACCATTGAAATAAAGGATCTAATTCAAAAGGGAATGACAATCGGTCTGAAATGAAAAAACTTTACACCCAACGTTCTAATATACCTACCTAGTGATACTGTCGTCGGTACTACCGCTCTCCATACGATACACAGGAGCACCAGTTGGTGGACTGCTGTTGAATTTCTGTGAACAAAGGGAGCTGGTCTCTTCCAATATCCATTCTAAGACGACCTCGTTAAGACTGATTTCAGTACTAGGCCACACGACTGAATCAGAATGGTGAGTTACTCTTTCCTTCARCGGACAATATGTGGATGAACAGGTGGACAGTCGAGAGTTTTTAAAGAAGATATTCAAATGTCTAATGAACAAAACCCATTCGTTATCAAAGTAGTTAACAATCCCTTTTTTATCAACCTTAATGGAATTCAATTCCTTCAACTTGAGTTTTTGCTTGTTAAAYTTGTTTTCACAATAAAGCTTCTCGAGGTTCTTCAAAAATTGATCTTTGCTAAGCTGTTTCTTGATCTCTGGGTTCTGAAGGCAAACATAGTGAAGGATTACCAGCCAGTTATCGATTGGACACGTATTGAAAAACTTTAGATTTCCCAACTTCTTATCTTTGATGCCACCGCCCCATCTTGGAAACTTGTCGTTAGGAATGGTGCTTTCTACTTCATCCTTTACAGTGTTTTTCTTTTTGCAAAGGTTTAGTATACCTTCATCCTTGACAGTGTTTTTCTTTTTGCAAAGGTTTAATATACCATCTCGAAAAGTAGAAAGTTTCTTTTTGATATTCCATTTGCGTTTGTGTGTTTTTTCTTTGCGTGGTGTTTGTTGCTGGGTCTGTACAGTGTCGGGTTCGTCCTTGGTCATGATTTCAGTACTGGATTTATCATGAACAAGCTCAGTTTTTTTATCAAATGTAAAGTGCGTTTCCTCAGTGATATCCTTCTGACTCTTTATAATATCAACTTGATCCTCATCAATAAGCGTAGTTTTGTTCTCTTCGACATTTTCTATATTCACACTGAGGTTGAACGTTTTTTCGCTATCAACAATTTCGCATTCCTTTATTTCTTTCTCTTTCTCCCGCGTTTCATTTGCATCAAATTTTCCACCAACTTCACCGTCCCTTTGTTCTGTGGCGCCGTTTCCCCCCTTGTTTTTTACTTCAAGGAATCCACAGTCTTCACCGTTTTTTTCTTCTGTTGCGCTTCTCGTTTCTTTGTCATCCTCGACCACAGCGTCTTCAACATCTTCCCCGTCTTTTTCGTCTATTGCAACTTTTGCAGTTTCTTTGTCTTCCTCAACCACAGCGTTTTCGGCACCTCCTTCGCCTTCGTTCTTTTCTTTGCCCTTCTCAACCTCAGCGCGGTTTACACCATCTTCATCGTCGTTCTCTTCTGTTGCAACTTTTGATTTTTTGTCCTTCTCAACCTTAGCGGTTACGCTATCTTCATCGTCGTTCTTTTCTGTTGCAGCTTTTGTTTCGTTATCCTCTTTGACCTCAGTGTTTCCACATTCTTCATTCTCGTCGTTTTGTTCCGTCGTGGAGCTGTTCGTTTCCTTGTCTTCCTCCATGTGAACAGCGTTTTCATCATCATCGCCGTCTTTTTCGCTTGTTCCGCCGCCTGTTTCATTGTGTTGGTCGATGTCAAAGTCCTGACCATTTTCATGGTCGTTCTGCGGCACATTTTGTTTGGCCATATCTTCTGCTTCACTATGGCCTACATCTTGACCAATCTCCAATTCTTGGTGTTCTGTCATTTTTGTCTCTTCATTTTCAGGTGTTACATCACCATTAGTTCTATTTCCGATGATTCTGAGACAAAGGTTCTTCAAGCCTTTCAGTGTTATCTTGGGAAAGATTGAAATTGTTATCTGCATGTTCCAGTACAACATCCTATGGTGAGTTGAAGGCATGTAGATCTTCATTCCTGGGACTAACAAGAAGACTTGAGCATCACATCCGGTGATGCCTTGGGTTTTGTAGGACGTAAGGTAATTCAACAGTTTCCTTACTTGTAAAGGATCGATTTTATTTCCATATCGTGGAAAGTGTTGCATTGATTCCTTTGTGGAATGAGTTTTCATGCAAGGTAGTTGTTTACTTTCTCCATGAGATGATAGAATTCTTTGGAGTCTTGCTTTGTCATAATCTGCAGACAGACACACAAACAACTTGATTCAGTAACGATAATTGCAATCTCTGATAAACTTATTTTCAATACAGGGTATGAAGCTATAACCATCTGCAGTAGCTCTATACCTCTTCAGCATGCACAGACTAGACGTGCTGCTAACTTCAAGCCAGTAAGATGTAAGAACAAGGCCCTTGTTCTTACATCCATAAGTATTATCCTTGGCTCATCTTGGAAGAACACTTTATGACCATAGTATATTCTATCAAGGTGAAGGCACTATTGCCCCACCTTGTTGGAGGTTTTTCATGCAGTCATGTGCGTGCGTAAGAATTTACGGCTGAGGCAGGACATGAACGTATTATGTGATAAACTGCAATTATTTTTACAAACGATAAGTGACACTATGATAAACTGCGCGATTTGCATGGTGCGTGTGACATGTTGTTACACAAACTAGTTACCTGGTAGGTAAACCAGAGGACTTGTAATCAGTAGAATTCTCACAGTCTCACCAAACTGGGTCAGTGCCATTTCAGGTCTGAAGATGGTCAGCAAACTGCTGCAGTAAAATGTGAAACTGCGACAAGACACGACGAGGATGGTCAGTTGGGTATCGTGGTAGAATATATGGATGGCACTGATCTGGATGATTCTACAGCTTGCTTGTCTATATAGATCTATTATTGTAATTTGTTTAGAGATGATATGTAAACTACTAGCAAGCGATGTGCAATATGGTGTTGCAAAGACTCTCTGCACAGCTACATGTGAGTATATATGGCTGAGTCTGTCACTCGCCGTGCGGTATACGTCAAGAGACATATTGGGTCTGAAGATGATCTGAGAACTCCTGGACAAATTCCAACGCGTTGTCGTCAAGACCATCTTGATACTTGGAACAGCATGGTTAAGGATAGTCCTGGAGCTGCGCTTACTAACAGGTCTGTAAACCTGTAGGGTTTTAGTTGTGCAACAACTATTTTTATCCCAAATACTGTTAAGGCGTAACCTCAATTCGGAATTAGCAACATGAAGGAGAAGCTTGGTTCGTGTAACCTCTTTAAACAATTCGATGACATTAAATTGAAGGTGACTTCTGCTGCTAACAGGCCTGTACAGTTGTAAGCTTGTAGTTGGGCTGCAAGACCAATACTGCTTCTTCCTCCATGACTGCTCTTCTATTTTTTCGGAAACGTTTCTCGACTTTGACTTCGATCTATGAATTAATACATGTAGAAACACTGTTGATAAAGTATGGGCTAAAATCCATTGCATGCAATGATTATAATATGGACTTTCGAAATAGTCCCAAAAATCAAACATGTATGTCCTATGGAGTAAACTGCAAACTATGGCTAGTTTTAACACAAGTTAATCCAATCAAAGTTAGACTTTATAGTGACACAAGTTGCTCACCTTTTACAGATGAGTAATAAGATGACAAAACCAATCAACGTCACTGTTAATAACAGGAAGATGAGAAGCATCCATAATATCAGGTCATTGGAGGCCGAAGATGATTTGTAAACGGCCAATGCAGTACAATATAAGTTGCGAACAGGAACAAAAGGTTCTGTCAACGAAAAATGGAAATCTGTTACCGTAATTGTAAATCCGTATAAGCATATAAAGATTTTATCCGTCCGGATTCCTATTCATTCATTCATCCATCCACCCCACGTATGCATCTTGGCGACACCAGTCCGATTCTCCATCTAGATCTCTCCATTCGTCTCTGCATCCACCTATCCACCCATCCATTCATTCTTAGTCGACCTCCTTATTCCTTATTCATTCTTATTCGGCCTCCTCCGTCAGTCCTTTCTTTCTAGGTAGCTCCCTCCTTCCCTCCCTCCTTCCCTCCCTCGCTCCCTCCCTCCCTCCCTCTCTCCCTCCCATCTATCAATGAGCCAGCTGTATTCATAGACATTAATATGTCTATAGATATCTGTGTGACTATAGTATCGATTCCTGATTTCTTTAGTATTTCTGTTCGTTTGACGTTAAGAAACAGTAATGAAAAATGAAATTGCAAAAACAAATCGTTGCAAAAAGTCAAAACTTACCAGCAAAAATAAAATCGAATGTTGCTGCACACTGCGAATTTTCCACCATACAGACATCGTGTCTGTTGTAAACGGCTATGAAAAGCAAAAGTTTCAAGACCAGGATTAATAGATATATTTTTATAAGACCAAGCGCGTTTTTAGAATAGCCTTTTTTGTTTATATGGTTCCAGCCACAAAATTGTGTATTTGTATCCATACTTGAATCTATTCATGAAATACACCCATGCGTACATCCTTATAACTATCTACAAATCATCCATATTATAACCGTCCATTATCCCTCTTCCACACCTTCCCATGCACCCGTCCGTCTCTACGTCCATTCTTCATCCACCTATCGATCCATTGACTTACCCTTCACTTCCGTTGTATCCATACTTGTATATATTCATAATGAGATACCCTCATGCACTTATCTTCCTAACTCAGTAACCATCCATATCACATCCATCCAT